TCATTAGATAATAATAATCATTTACTAATTATATAAATCATTTTAAGACGTAGGAGTTATCCATTGTTTAATTTAACAGTTATATAATTACCATAGTTAGAGAGATACGAACACCTAAGACACCTACGATATTTCTGAAACGTCGGGTATATGAAGTCGACGGACCAAACCAGTCCATGAACTATAAATGAAAATCCTCTCATCACAGGAAGTGGTCAAGAAAGGTATTCAAAATTTGACAAAATTCTGAAAAATGGGTGACTGTGCGCCACATGCGATGTATCAATTGATTGTTTACCGAGTACTTAAAGTATTATTTCGTATGATAGCCACGTAGATTATCTACGAGATGGTGCTATAGCAACAAGATTTTATTGCCAACTAAAAAATTTATGGGACTTGGAAAAGTAAGGTTATTTACGATTTCGATCAAGTTTAAACCCATGTATCTCAGAAAAGCCGCCAATGATTTTTTTTCAAACTTGCTTAATCGAGATTCTACTGGGTAGTGTATTGTGTGAAACCCTTGTACAATTTTTCTAATTGTCATGGGTAGCCTAAAAAAGAGATCGAAAATTGAAAAGAGCGTATTTTAACGAGTTGGAGCATGTTTAGGGGTCAATATCTGAGTTATGCTAGAGTGTGGGTTTTTTCGGGAGGTGGGGGGAGTGGCGGGGTTAGTCTTTTGTCATATATCTGGCGATCGTGTGACGCCTTGGCGACGGTGAAAGCCTTCAGCATTGCGTGCAATTCTAGTAATCTATTTGTATTTAATTGTATTATCAAAATCTGTAGTATGTGTTGTTGATTTCAAATATGTATAACATCTATATGTTTGACTTTTGTAATTATTATTACTATTCGTTCTTTGTCTGAAATATGTCATTCTGTTATGTTTATTATTATTGAACTTATACTTGGCAATTTGATTCACAATAACTTGTCTACAATATCACGAGGACATAAAATTCCGGGAACGAACGAACGATTCTAAATAAAACTAATGACCCTACATTATTATATAAACGGCTGGTCTTCATTAACATAATATTTAATTGGTTGTTAATAATTACACATTTAGAATAAGCCAACTCCTAACATTGTCCGATGAGAGTTACTTCCCTTTACCAACTTCCTTTTCAAATAACAATTTATGGGATTGGTCGATAAAAATAGCACAATCATCAAGGGCGGATAACTTGAAAACGTGTCTCCCCCATAGATTAACCCAGGGTATAGTGGAGTAGAACGGAATGAGTACACTGGGTAACCGAGGATGCCCTTTTCTATGTTCACTATGTACTCATCATGATTCCGTGGTTTAGTGGTTGGTGCATACTTTAGACCCCTGGAGAGTAGGTTCATCTGTTCATCTGTGAGTGGGCGGTTGCTGAGGTTGATGACGGTTTTGGAGAGAAATTCATCTCTTGCATTGGAGCTGGTATTTCTTTGTTTATCTGGTTTTAATTTCTTCATCAATTTTGAGGTTGGATTTGGTCTGTATATTTCGGAGGGAACTGTAATCTTCATCTGATAGGGTATCTTGTAATTTCTGACGCTCTATCTCTGATTTTGCAAATCGGCGGTGTTTTTCATTTCTGTAATGTTGTATTCATTCTCGTACTAAACATGTACTTGCCTTAAGTAGAATCCTGTATGCTGATGATGATTTAACCGGCGAATGTTAAACTGTTACACACTTGTATATATATTTACATTCCAACTTACTGATCTGATTGATGTGTCGCACTGCCTCATCTCCATATTGATGTCTGATATACTTTTTGAATGGCATTTAGTAATTGAACACATTAAAATAAACACAACAGTTCTATGGATAACAATTAGTATATTTCTAAGGAACGAAATATATATACTATGTACAATCAAAACCTTCAATGAAACCATAAATTATGCTTTTCAAAATCACATTTCCCCTTTTACTGGTAGGCCTTAATCTGACCAATAAAATATTTACTGAAGCACTATCCCTAGTTTTAAACAATTCAGTAATTCAAAATAATTTTAATTTACTCTGTGATTATCTAGTAATAGTATGTTGTATGGTTAACTTCAGTTTGCATGGCAGATAATTCCATAATAGTAGCCTACACAGTATAAACTAAATTTTCTATTTTTAAATAATCAGTTGACAAAAAAATCATAAAAATAAAGGTAACTCTGAACACAGATCAGACCTAATGTCATGGATATCTAGAGCAAACTTCAGATTTATAATAATTTAATATATTCTTGTGCAGTAGTGTAAAATGGATAATTTCATAGTATTAGGGGGCCTATAAAGGCCGTCAAAACATTACATGACACCCAGAGCAATATGCAAAGTATTCATTCTCAAGTTGTTATGGTTTATACGTGTTTGTAAAAAGAGAGAAACCAATAAACTCAAATAATGTTTATTGAAAAATGTTAAAGGCCTATTTAAAATAGAATTTTAATATCGTTAATTATTTTATTTTTTCAAAATGAAAGCCTAAATTAATTCATAGAACAAAAATCATAAAAGCACACAATGAGTCAACGTTGGAGCCAAAGGTATTTTATCTTGGAAAACAACCAACGGCTCAAATTGGAAAACGTTATTTATATGCCTATTTGAAATTCAATTTTAATATTCTTAAATTATTTTTTATATTTTAATGAAAGCTTACTTTATTAACATAACATAAATAAGAGAACCACACAGTAATAAGCTCTAGAAGACAAAGGTAAATCATGTTGATGTTGAGTAAAATAGGCCTTATCCAAAAAAGGGCGTGGCACTTTGACGTTTTCAAATGGTCCATTTTAAGGTGTATGGAAATTACATTTCAAATCTAGGAATCAAAACAACAAGTATTTGGTGGATTAGTTTTAAAGTTAATAAAAACTTTTTAAAATCGACAATAATTTACGGTCTAACAGACCAATTCGTAAACCGTCACAAACGCCGTCTCTCACTTCATTCCGGGCCGTACCACGCTTTATCCATGCATGTTTTAAAAATAAGAATCATGTTTTATAAATTCCCGAAAAACACACACAACTAACATATGATAATTCTCAGTAGTTTTGTTACCGAAAATACTATAAAACTACGAAATTAAAGAGATTTAGTTCATCGATATAGATATCGTAGCCTTGTTGAGCGAACTTTAGTGTGTGTTTATTACAGACAATTCCCAAGATGCATTGCACGTCGCTGTGTTTCTATGGGCCGTAATGCGAGTTACCACTCTGGTTATTTTTACTCTGTGATAACATGAAAGGTTCGCTTATAATAAAGGTAAAGTTTTACAAGTAAGAAAAATTATGCATGATTATGAATGATTTTGAAACCCCCTGTATTTAACTCATTTAAATTGAATCAAGTCTATGAATCCACAGACTTTCTGCTGTGTTTAATTTTTTCTGATCATTATCAGTGATATATGCGAACATTTTTTTCAATCTGATAAAAATTGTGACCTCTAGGGGGACCACAAGCTAAAAACACGATTTTTCGTACAGTTAGGGGTCATAATCCAGGACGCAGCAGTCCAATATGCTCGAATATCGAAAGGAGCCAAGATCTTTGGGTTATAAATATACATTTTAAGTTTCATCTAAATCGGATAAAAATTGTGACCTCTAGCATGTCCATAAACTAAAAACGTGATTTTTTTGTACAATCTGGGGCATTAATCCATGAAGTTTGGATCTGATACATGCCAATATCGACAGGAACCGAGATCTTTTGAAGATAAACCTATATTTCAAGTTTCAGCAAAATCTGATAAGAATTGTGACTTGTAGAGTGTTCACAAACAAATTGTGGCGAGCGGACGCCATTTCAATGTCCCTCGATAACTTTGTTCGGCACTAGAAAATAAGGTTTATCTGACATACGATGGGATATTGGACTAGGAAAGCTGCAAAAAGGACACGTTTTTGAAAACAAAATGGGTTGAATTCCATTGCAGCTTGATTCATTCTATATTAACTTACGTATCTAATATGATAGGTTGGGAAAAAGTATTAAGACTAGCTTAAAGTGTCAAATTCCAATTGTCCAAATCTATTACAATTCAAGACGTGAAAAGTTCGCTCCTAACAATGCTTCGGCCTTATATAGTGTTTGCATATTTGTAGCTTAGGTAATGATTTGTTCAGTCAGTATGTTAATTGGACCGTCAATGTGTAGTCGCTGTGATGTCAAGCGCCAATCAAACGTAATACGGTTGAAATCAAAAAATTGAAAAGTGTTTTAGATCGTCTGACAATACATTGAATAATTTTAATTAGATTGATATGGAATTGTTATAAAGTGTATATAGTTAACACTAGCTTTAAGTACATATATCATTTTATGTGCTCTTTAATAAAAAAAAAATAAAAACATTTCCAGGTGATGCCTCTTTAACTCTCCTTCCATGTTTTATTAAATATACAAATAACAATATCCTCAAAATTAGTGGTATCAGTGGTTTTACTTACCTTTGCTTGAATAACACAAAGATAACGCAGCATTTCAAACTTCACTGTAAAATTTTTCAGTATCAAGTTTGAAATCTATAACAATTCAAAACGTGAAAAGTCCACTCCTAACAATGCTGCTGCCTTATATACAGTTAGTGTTTGCATATTTGTAGCTTAGGTAATGATTAGTTCAGTCAGTATGTTAATTAGACAGTCAATGTGTAGTCCCTGTGACGTCACGCGCCAATCAAACGGAATAAGGTTGAAATAAAAAAATTGAAAAGTGTTTTAGATTATCTGACATGTAACATGGCAATACATTGAATAATCTTAATCACATTAATATGGAATTGTTATAAAGTGTGAATAGTTAATACTAGCTTTAAGAACATATCATTTTGTTTGGTTATTTTATGTGCTCTTTAATAACAAATTTAAAAACACTTCCAGGTGATGCCTCTTTAACTCTCCTTCCATGTTTTATTAAATATACAAATATATACAATATCCTCAAAATTAGTGGTATCAGTAGTTTTACTTACCTATCCGGAAGAGCTACACCTTCAGAATTCAAGTATTCAATAAATTCACTTGGTAGTGGTATTACCAAGCTGAAAAATAATAACAAATAATTCGAGGCTACTTGATTACAAAAACACCGGTGAGCAATAATTATTGGGTATATAATAATTATAAACAACTGTTGGGTAAAACTGAATTATTTTATACAATTAATATGTGTGTGTACGATTCTACCATTAGTTCATTCGTGGGTACTACTGCACACGTTCCACCTAGAGTGATGTCTTTGATCTGGCCGGTGTAAAAAAGATAATTACCTAATCAGCATTCTTAATCCCACTAACAATCACTGCTAACACCGAGATGTAAATTAATTTATGACCCCAAGTCCGGATAACTTTAGTCGGATTGATTAATTAATGACAGATATTACTGACAAAGATAGTTAGATGAACCTTCTCAATCTGTCTGTTATTCCATTTAGATGGTTACTATTAATTCTAACGTATATTGAGATATTTTTTCGTATTTCAATTTTACGGTCTATTTCAGAATAATGAAGTCAAATCCACCTTACGATGATAACGGATCGTCATTTACAAATCGACAAATCGCTTTTCAATCATGTTTGACTTTTATGACACATTTTGCATGACCACATCTTTTTACTCCTGTACTCTTTTACTCGGGGGAAATTAGAACCACAATACTCTTTTGACTAAAATGTATCTCGAATCGATTGGACTGCACACGATGTTAGAGGGTATTAAAATTGCTGTCGTGAGAAACGAGAGTGACCGTACATTATGAAACAAATTCTAAATTGGATCTTAAATTAAAATGAATTACAAAACAAATTATACCATAGTCAATTGTTTTATTTAATTAGGGTGGTTAAGGAATCAGTCAGGCGTTAATGAATACACACGCCAGCTGTGTATAGGTAAATCAGGAATAAATATTCCGAATATGCATTCGGTCACTGTGACGTCACTGGCGTCAGAGGGGATTAAGAGTGTTTTCGATAATTGGCAAAGTCGTTTTTACAGAAGGTCTATTTTTACGACTTTGAGTGAGGATAACTGTATAAATTTCAATCAAATTGGTGTGAACTTGCCGTAAAGTTGATATAGTAACCATTGGCTACACGTATCGAAAAGTTCCCAAGCCCATCTTATGCGCACTTTAATTATTACAACCTGTAGAGTATTGACCCATAAAAACTAACAACCAGCGGCTCCAGGCAGGATACGCCCACATTTTGCAAGAGATGGATAGAGAACAAGCTAAAAACAAACGTGATTTTTTGTACAATCAGGGGCAATAATCCAGAAAGTTATGGCCTGAAATGTGCAAATATCAAAAGGGACTGAGATCTTTGGGATATATAAAGATATGTTTTAAAGGAGCTAAATCGCTAACATTTGGGACCTAGAAATTGACAAAAGTGGGTCGCAGCGCATATAATAATGTAGTATGACTGTATATAAACTGATTTACATTCAATGGTTTCCGTTTTTACTCCAATTTCAAATCAGTTATCTTCGGCGAAATAAGCCAGCAGTCTCAAGCAAGTGAAAATTTCTAGCGTCTGGTTATTCCTGTCTACATACGCCGTTTGATTTGGTGCAATGTGTCTAGCCTCGTCCATCGAGTCTCTTGATACAACTGGGACTGAAGTGCATTATGGTACACCCTTCGAGTACCAATGGTAAAATATTTATTTTGTCTTAAATATTGGATATCAAAAGCCCATCTTTTTCCGGTAAGATGACAACATGAATGTTGATTTAATTTGACAAATAAATCATGTTTTCAATGTTGAAGATTTTGGATGATATTGAGTTAGAGACTTAGCTACTTTAAGTTTCATCAAAATCGGATAAAAATTGTGACCTCTTGACGATTTGCGTACAAAGAGCGTCCATTTTATCAGGCAGTTTCATTTCGATTTTCCCGAAATTCGAATTCAACCTTCATTATGGTGGAATGGTAATGTGTCTAAACGGTTTTTAAAATCGGAAAAAATTGTGACCTCTAGAGGATCCACAACATTGATTTACCAGATGTTTACACTATTTGCGTACGAGGGGCAGCCATTTAGTCCGGCAGTTTTGGCCCGATTTTCACGAAATTCGAACTCAACAAACATTACAGTGTAACGGTGATATATTTGAACGTTTTGTTAAATCGGATAATAATTGTGACCTCTAGAGAGAACACAAGCTAAAAACGCAATTTTTCGTACAATCAGAGGCCATAATTCAGGAAGTTACGATCCGATATGCGCGAATATTGAAAGGAACCAAGGTCTTTGGGTTATAAACATGCATTTCAAGTTTCATCAAATTCAGATCAAAATTGTGGCCTGTAGAGGGTCCACCACTTTGATATACCAGATGTTTACACTATTTGCGTATGAAGGGCGGCCATTTTGTCCTGCAGTTTTGGTCATATTTTCATGAAATTCAAACTCAGACAAAATTACGGTGTAACGGTGATATATTCGAACGTTTTTTTAAATCGGATAATAATCGTGACCTCTAGAGGGACCCACAGATGAAAATTGTGACCTCCAGAGGGTCAACAACCCTGATACACAATATTTTGACACTATATGCGAATGAGGGGCGGCCATTTTGTCCATCAGTTTCGGTCCGCTCTTTACGAAATTTGAACTCAACCATCCTTAGGTGTAACGGTTATTTATTCAAACGTTTTTTTAAATCGGATAATAATTGTGACCTTTAGAGGGACCCACAAGCTAAAAAGGCAATTTTTCATACAATCAGGGGCCATAATTCAGGAAGTTACGATTCAATATGTACGGAAATCAACAGGAACCAAGATATTTGGGTTATAAACATGCATTTCAAGTTTCATCAAAATCAGAAGAAAATTGTGACCTCCAGAGGGTCCACAATCCTGATACACAATATTTTGACACTATTTGCGAACAAGGGGCAGCCAGTTTGTCCGTCAGTTTCAGTCCAATTTTTACGAAATTCGAACTGAACCATCCTTAAGGTGTAACGGTGATATATTCAAACGTTTTTTAAATCGGATAAAAATTGTGACCTTTATAGGATCCATAATCTAAAAACGCGATTTTTCATACAATCAGTGGCCATAATTCACGAAATTATGGTCCGATATGCGCGAATATTGAAAGGAACCGAGATCTGTGGGTTATAAACATATATTTCAAGTTAAACCAAATCGAATAAAAGTTGTGACCTCTACAGTGTTCACAAGCTAAAAATGTGGTTTTTCGTACAATCAGGTGCCATAATCCATGAAGTTACAGTCTGATACATGCCAACATCAAAAGGAACCGAGATCTTAGGGTGATAAACCAATATTCCAAGTTTCATTGAAATCGGATAAAAATTGTGACCTCTAGAGTGTTTACAAACAATTGTGGACGGACGGACAGGGGTGACGACAATATATGTCCACATGAAAATGTGGGCGTATAAAAAAGTGGGTGTGATCCACATCCCTGGTGGTTGGGACATGCGCCAAAATAAATAGTTGCTATCCTTAAAGTATAAATAAATATGCCAAGTTACAAGAATAACCATTTAGAATTCCAGCCTGAAGATAAACACAAAAATTGGGCATGGCTCTGCCCCTGGGGGTTGGACATGGACCAATATACATAGGTACAACCCTATGCTGGATCATTCTGAATTGGAGAGAGAGAGAGAAATGGGGTTTAACGTCCACTCGACACAAACTAGGTCATTTCGGGACTAACATATGGTTTAATTTTATTTACATAATTTGCTTGCGCGTAGGGGTCTTTAGCAGTGGGAGGAAACCGGAGGCCCCGGAGAAAACCCACGAGGTTGGACAGGCGACCCTACTCCTTGCCACGTACAAAAGGAGATTCGAAACCACGCCAATCGACTCAATGACAGACTTTCTGATACAGCGCGCGCATTCTAACCATTCAGCCATCCAACCCCCCCATTCTGAATTAGATCCATATCTGTTAATAATTTGCAACCTGTATATCATTTACAAACAAAATATCCACAAAAAGTGGGTATGGCACCGCCAAAAGGGCAGGCGTGGAGGGTGGAGGAGAAGTCGTGCACCAACATCAATAGTTGCCTTCAGGCGCTAGAGGAAAAAATTGGGCTTGGCTCTTCCCCTGGAGGTCAGGGCATTCACCAAAATCAATTGTTAACGCCCTTAGGCTATAACGAATACATATACCATTCAGAATTGCAGCCTGCATTGGGGCATGCAGTTGTCATCCTTAGGCTATAAGAAATACATATCCCCAAGTTCAAAGCGGATCCATTAAGAATCGTGGCCTGTAGGCAACACACAGAGACACAAAGAAAGATAGGTTGTATCTAGCACTAATTCCTTTCACATTCGTTTAATATCAAATCTTTGTTTAAAAATTCGTAAAAATTATTAAATAATCACCCAAAATCATCTAATTTGTACATGTGTCCAGTTTAAAGCTGACTGATTAATTTTGATAATGAGTGTCCAATTTACAAGTATTTAATTTCCTGATCACTGTTCAAAAATTAATCATTATACATCATTAATCAATTGGGTTGTTTATTTTTTAACAATGAATGAGAAATTAAACACTTGGACACTCATTATCAAAATTGAATGGTCAGCTTTAAACTGGACAGAAGTACAAATTAAACGATTTATGGTGATTTTAAACAGTTTTTACAAATTTTTAAACAAAGATTGGATATTAAACGTATGTGAAAGAAATTAGTGCTAGATACACAAGATTAAACGATACCTGGGTTACAGTGAAAGTGAAACAAGGGTCATAACTGTAGAAATAATTGATGGAAATTGCTGAAATTCAATAGGATTCTTCTCTTGACTAATTTAAATGGCACATATAAATTTCATACAGATCGGCAGTTAACTTTAGAAGTTAGAGCCTTCACAAAGTGCAACAAAGTGAAACAAGGGCCATAACTCTAGAAGTAATAAACGGAAATTGCTGAAATTCAATAGGATTCATCTCTTGACTAATTTAAATGACACATGTAAATTTCATACAAATCGGCAGAGCGTTAGAGCGTTCCCCTGGTGCAAC